GTCTGGCAAAAACCAGTGCATGTGTGAGGTTTCAGTATGCAGTTATCCTCACTCAACACGTCTAGGTGTCTCGCAATCTCCAATACAAATAACCTGTGAGGTTCAATATGTGTCTATCCTCATTCAACGCGTCTATGTGTCCGGCACTCCAACATCACTCAACCCGTGGGGTTCCAGCAGCTATCCCCACGCAACCCGTCTATGTGTCTGGCAATCTCAAACCTCCCCTTTCCGTGGGGTTTCAGTATACAGCTATAATCACTCAACACGTCTATGTGTCCGGCAATCTCCTACATCACTCAACCTGTGAGGTTTCCGTAAGCAATCCTCACTCCACGCATCCATGCGTCACGCGTCTTTGGTAGCGCATACTATAGGGGGGGGGGGATCGAAGATACGTGGTCGTGGTTACCTTGTCAGTGTTTCGTTTTTGATTTGGGCCACGCTGGATGGTGTCGAGTGTAAACCCGTCCCCCTCGTTACCCCCGCAGGCTACTGCTGTGGCGTTGAGTGTATTGGAAATACGGCATTTTTTGTTTTCCGTGTCAAGGGCACGCCGGATCAACTGTGGCGACGACCTTACTCAACATTTCTGTTTGAACCCGCTGGCGAACGTTCTCGAAGGGGACTTCCTGCCTGTCTATATGTTTGGGGTGTGTACAAGCCTCACTTCGTCCCAGCGTAGAGTATGTGCTTTTCCCGTCCCTCTCTCTGGCTTTGTGCGGCCTCTTGACGTTTCTGGGCCGTGTTTATTTTTTGGGTGCCCCCCGCTCGCCCCGACGCCTTATTTTGCTTGTGTGGCACGTTACTTTCTTTTTCCCGTCCTCGTCCTCCTCAGCACGGGACTGGACGCAGAGGTTGGCAAGGTCGTCCGCGTGATTCAGTTCGCGTTCTGAAGATTGTTCTGAAGAACGTTTCTGGAAGAAAAGATGGAGGAGGAAGTCTTCATGGAGAAGGTTCCGGAGACCCTGGGGGGGGCGGTTGCGGTCAGTGCGGTGAACATCGCACACAACGGGGGGCGGGGAACTTACTCGG